CGCACCTAGCATACAATCAAACTGTGAAGGGTTCTGTGCTGAATGTCTCACTGCAACATAATTGTCTATTTGTTATGATCATAGTGCCACAAAATATGCAGTCTTACAGTTAATGACCCATGTGTAAGACAGCGAACCTCAGTGGCAGTAACACAGGGTTTGCAGATGTGCTCACCGACAGCATGGCAGGGTCCTGTTACAGGACCTTTGTTGCCGGATGAATCTTCCCTCCACAGAAAAACAGGCGCCAGTTGGCAGCTACAGTCCAGAAGAACGGGAGACGGATACATACAGGTATCTGGGTCTTATCTGAATATGCTGATTGAGTAAAAGCACTCAGTAGCCCTTTGTTCCTTTGTTTGCTCATTTATTCAACAAATTTGTATTGAACACTTCTTCTTTAGGATGCACAGTGCTGGGAGCTGGGGATAAGATGGTGAGTTAAACAGACTGATCCTACCTAAGAAGCTGTAAACAAATAGGTAAAAATGCAGTATAGCCCATTACAGTTATGTACTATGATGCAGAGTGGAGTGCAGGGCACCCTCAGAGCCCAGAAGTGACACACCTGACACACACAAAAATTAGAAGTGAGGGATAAGCTAAGACTCTAAGACTCAAGAAAGAGTTATTTTAGTAGGAGGTGGGGAGGGTAGTTGGAGGGAAAAGGCGGAGAAGGAGGGAGGAGTGTTCTTGGCAGAAGGAACAGCAAGTTTGAAAGCTTGGAACTGAAATTGCAGGGTGTGTCAGGCAAAGTGGCTGAAGAGTACGCTGGCAACCGGGGGTGGGGGGGGGTGTGTGTGTGTGTGTGTGATGTCAGGATGACACGAGGCTGGAGAGGAAAGCAAAGCCAAGACCGTGAACGGCCCAGCAAGCCCAGGTACTTTATCCTGAGGTGATACACCACTGCTGAAGTATTTGAAGTCAGGAGATGACTTGATTTTCTTGTAAGTTGGAAAGATCCTGCTAGCTATTTGTTACAAAAGGTAAAGGAGAAAACAATAATTTTGTTATACTCCTGCCTCATACAACTTGTCAAATAGGTCTATGAAATTTTACCATCCAAAATAGTAGCCTACAGTATTTTATAAATGTATTAAAACCATGGTAAGGTGCAAAGAGGTCCAATTAGGTCACTAGCAGCAGCGAGTTGACGTGGCGAAATCTGACAGATTCTGAGCCAGACTGAAGAGGGCCGGGTGGGCTTTTACATTCTGTCATTGGTGGGAGTGCTTTCACCCCTCATCTTTCTAAAGCCTATCTGATCCTGACCAACTAAAATAGGGAGAACACAGCAGTTGGGTCTACATCAAAATAGTAAAACATCAAAATAATAAAACTATTCCAATTAGAAGACAAAGATAAAGAAATTCTACCCAGAATAAGCTTATAAACTATTTGAACACATTTGGTATTTGATCTATACCAGCAATTTTCAACTGGTGTGCAGCAGGAATTTTTAGAACAGGGAACACCTGACTGTGTAGTCGGGGTCACTGACCTCTTTTCCCTTACACTGTCAAATTAAAACAGGACACCAACTAACACAACAATGGCCATCTAATGCGAATGAATCAAAATTGTACCCATTGTTTTTGGCCACGACCGGTTGGCTCAGCTGGTCAGAGCACCATCCCATACACCAAAAGACTGCGGACTTGACCCTGGTCAGGGTGCGTGTAGGAGGCAACGGATCAATGTTTCTCTCTCATATTGATGTTTCTCCCTCTCTCTATGAAAATCAATAAGATATTTTTATAATTAAAAATATATACCCATTTTCGTCCTGGCTGGTGTAGCTCAGTGGATTGAGCACAGGCCTGCGAACCATGCAATCGTGGTTCGATTCCCAGTCAGGACACATGCCTGGGTTGCAGGCCAGTTCCCAGTGGGAGACACATGAGAGGCAACCACACATTGATGTGTTTCTCCCTCTCTTTCTCCTTCCCTTCCCCTCTCTCTGAAAATAAATAAATAAAATATTTTTTAAAAATTTAAAAAATATATACCCATTTTCTTGTTAGGTTGGCAAAAAAAAAACCATAATTTTTGGTGTGCCACAGAATTTTAGCAGTTAGTTTATGTGTGGCATGAAATGAGAAAGGTGGAAAATTGCTGATCGATATTACCTGAAGTTGCTATTTGAGTACAGAAAACTTTTTTCCCAGATTCCTTCAGACTAAAATAATACACCTGTATCAAACCATGCCTGCCAAAAAAAGAAAAACATAAACAACACACACAACCACACTCCCCCTCCACACAATTTATGCCACTGTATTTCACTTTTTTTCATGCGCATACCTCCTTATAAAGCCCACAATACCTTATGTGCAGTAGGTACTTATTATAGTCTTTCCAATAAAGATGTGGCTTTAAATCTCTGTGTTTATATACATAGCAATCTGTTGGCCAAAACACACTTGAAAATTTAACTCACAATTTCTATTCTCCCAAACTGTTGTGTTGAAACACAGCGGGGAAAGTGAAGTAGTAGGAACTTGCGAAAAGATCAGCCCAAAAGATTTCATCCTCACCCTGGACCACAGGGTTGTCAAAGGGACCCTCACTGTGCTGACTCCATGTGCCCCTCTTATTGTAAAACTTGAGACTTAAAGCATTTGAAATTGTAATTGCTGTCCTGGAAGGGTGAATGACTGACTCCTGGGCTTTCACACTGGTCTGTGGTGCTTACAGCCTAAGATGCCACCCTTCATTTTCCTGAAAGGGCAGGTCACGTGGTGAGAGTCACAGGGAAAACCTGAGACACAGGTCGGGAGAGGGCTGCCTGACTTTAGCATGAGAGCGTTCAAGTCTTTATTTTCACTCTGCCATATTATTAACATCTCATTCATGTTAACAACTTACTCCTCCTGTTAGAATCTCAGTTGAAAACAATAACAACGAAGCAGAAAACAAGTACAAGCTTCTTTTAGGGAGGCTTCTGAATCCATGGTTTCAATTTTTTCTTTGTGCCTTGCTCTAACACTCAAATCAGAAAATCTTGATCTGTAGCTTTTCCAATTTACATGGTGTGAATACCTCCACCGTAACCAATTAGCAGGTTGTGCCATGAAAGGTGGAGTTGGGATAAGCACAGGTGGCTTTCCCAGAAGTGGGTACGAGTTGGTTCTAGCAGACAGATGCCTGTGACCAGAGTTGAGCCACACCAGACAGCTCCGGCCAGTCGAGTCACTCCAGCTCAGGGTGCAGTCACGTGGGGCAGGTGTGAACTGTGCCCTGCCCAGATAGTTGACTCCCAAAACTGTGAGCGGAATAAAAGTTGTTTGTTTTTAACTTCACTAGTTTTTTGACAACTTCATTGAGATATAATTCATCCAATTACAGTGTAAAATTCAATGGCTTTTAGTATATTTATAGAGTTGTGTGTCCATCACCATAATCAAATTTAGATTATCTATCATTCCTCTTAATTGCCACTTCCCCAACTTCCCCCCCACCCCCACCCCCACCCCCATGGATGGATACATTTTCTGTCTCTACTGGTTTTCCTGTTCTGGACATTTCATATAGTGGAATCATACATTGTGGTCACTTGTGACTGTCTTCATTCGCTTAGCATGTTTTCAAGGTTCACCCATGTTGTAGCACATATAAGTACTTTGTTTCTTTTTATTACCAAATAATGTTCCATTGTGTGGACACACTGCATTTATGATGCCATTTTTTCCTGTTTTTCAGTTGATGGGCGTTTGTTTACCTTCTACTAGGCCATTCAGGCTGCGGTAACAAAAATACCACAGAAAGGGTGGTTTAAACAACAAACATTTCTATCTCCCAGTTTTGGAGCCTGGAATTCCAAAATGAAGGGCTTGGCAGATTCGCTGTCTGGTGGGAGCCTGCTTCCTGGGTCACAGATGGCTTTCTTCTTCCTGTGTCCTCATGCTGCGGAAGGGGCAAGAGAGCTCTCTAGGGTCTCTTTTATAAGGCCACTAATCCCACTTATGATGGCTCCGCCCTTATGACCTATTTACTCAAATTTAGGGACTTGGACTATTATTCTCAAAGCTTACAGAATCTTTTATTATCTGGCCCCTCACATAAATCTCCTGTCACCTTCCACAGAGGACATTTTGCTCCATCCACAATGCCTTCAGACTCACTGGTGACTTTGCCTGGAGTGCTGTTCCTCAAGTAGTTAACTCCTACTCAGTGTCTTCAACTCGAGATACTTCTGCGAATCTTTCCTTCATGGTCTCCTTTCCCACTTTAGATATGTTCTTCGTCTGTGAGCCCGTCAAGTCCTGTGTTGGAGTCTCCACTACTGAGCCTGCCACACTCTGCCAAAGCTGGGAACTGCTGGAGTGCAACACCAGGTCCGACTGATCTTTGTGTCCCAACCCCACCACACCAGTCAACAGTGTCCTGAGGAAAGGGGAGGACAAGAAATGGAAGCTTGAAAAGGTTTAACTTCAGAATTTAGTCTCCAAACTCACTTTTGGGAGAAGATGCAGAAAATGTAACCATCTATTCCTCATTCTTAAGCTTCCCATGAACAAAGGAGGCAGCCTTTTGTGAAACTGCTTCTTACTCACGAAACCCGTATGCTTGGCAGTAAATTTCCCAGGAAAATTAGCCTCTTGTTCATTATAAGGATACTATAGGGTATGTGTGTGTGGGGAGGGGGAGTGTATAGGCAGAGTTCAAGCCTCAAATTTAAGGAATTAAGGTAGAAAAGGAAGCCGGTATCATTCTTTAACTTTACCTTCAGATTAGAAGTTTTGTTTTCATTTTGTGGCCCTTACTATACAGATACAATGAATGAGGAAACGGCTTTCCATGTCACTCTTCTTACAGGTTTTCTGCCCATGATTATAGTTAAATAATGAATACCTCTCACGTATACAAAGAATGTACAATGAGACTGATGAAATTGCAGTAAAAAAACTACTTTGGCTATAATAGCAGCATAATTTTTCCCTTTTTTTTTTAACTTAAGATAAGGCTTATTAGGATTATTTTAGCATCAATTTTCTTTTTCTTGTTTGCAGTATCATACATGACCATCAGACTGCTGCCAGAATGTTCACACCTGTTACTGCAAATTCAAAACCCAGGCAACACTCTCCTGGGGGTTTACTGTGGGTCAGGGTAGGGCTGCCTGGTACCGAGCCCCGCCCACCACTGGGCAGGTTCTGCAACACAGGAGCCTTTCTCCAGACTGTAGCACCAATTTTCTTAATTTTGCTTATATGCGTTAGGGTACTTGGTAGATGATCATTTATCCATGGATTACACCTGATCTGGCCTAGTTTAATGTGAAAGAGATTCTGGTATCTACTAAAGCTTTTATAGTTAAGAAAAAATGTACGCAGGGACAACTTTGATTTCTTGCTATATTTAGCAAAATTAATTTAATTTTATTTTTTATACTCACCCAAGGACATTTTTTTCACTGTTTTAAAAGAGAAAGTGTGTGGGTTGGAGAAAGAAAGACAGACAGAGCGAGCTCGATTGGTTACCTCCTTGTACATATCCCACCTAAGGATCGAACCTGCAGCCTGGGTATGTGCCCTAATGGGGAATCGCACCTCCAACCTTTTGGTCTAAGGGATGATACTCCAACCAAATGAGCCACACCAGTTAGAGCTACCAAAATTAATTTTAAATGGAACTTTTCATTTTCTTGCTCCACCTATAACTGGGAAGGCACAGCACTATGGGAATAATTTTGTGTGGTGCTGTGCTAGCAAAGACACATTGTTAAAAGTATATGCACATAAAATAAGTGTAATCATGTAAGATATAGTGTAGGTCTTAGACATGACTGAAATTTCATACAAATAAATCAAAACATCCACATAAGATTTAATATGTATAATATAAAAGAAAAATATTAGGCACATATTCTAAAAGAATAAAAGATTCTTTGAAGAATTACGAAATTCTTATAACTATCAAGGATGGTAGTAATTAATACCTACTTAATTAAATGCCATTTTCAAAGGTCAGATTCTGCTTAGATTGCCCCATCTCCATTCCTGGGAGAGGAAAATAGCTTAGTGGTCAACAGCACAGACTCTAGAGTCAAGTCACCTCCTTTGCCACTTGTGAGCTGAGTAGCCCTGGTGAGGCAGTTACGTTCTTGGACTCCCATTTCCTCGTAAGGACAAACTATAGCATCACGTGGTTTTTGTGAGGACAAAATGAGTGAATACATGTGAAGTGCCCAGAACACTGCCTGGCACGTGGAAGTCAGTGTTAGCTATTATTACTCCCGGAGACTTTTTCTTCGGAGGGCCTTCAATTACAGCAAGGGCTTCTAAGGCTTTTAAAAAGGGTGAAATTAAAAAAATACAATAAAAATTTTTTGCCTTAAAAAGTAGCAAGTAAAAAATAAATAAAAAGGGTGAAATATTTGTGTTCTTTAGCATTATCTTTGATCTGCAATAATATATGTACAATATCAAAAAGTCAAATGATTAACAGTTATTAATAAGTGCAATCAGAAATACTAGTAACTCCTGGGAGAAAAACCAAAGGTGAGAGGAAGTAGCCGATCCTCATAAATCCGACTTGGGCAAGTTGTCTTGGGTGAATAGTATAAAGTGTTAGAGAAGTTCATGAGTGGAAGCCCAGATTTAAATGCAGGAGTCGAAGAAATTGCTGTGGGACACAACGACAGCTTGGTGGTGCTTCACAGAAATAATGCTTAAGTTTCGTGCGGAAGGGATCACAAATGGAATCAAGTGAGTCAGCAAATCGTGTCAAAGGTAATGAATGCATTTACTGAGTGCTCTTCCAAATAAAGTGTTGTAATATTAATTTAATTAATTTAATTTTAATAGTTCAAGTACAGTTTTCTGCTGTGTTGTAATATTTCTATAAATACAGCTATTCAAAGCTTATATCAACTAGGTGTTATGTTAAGATATTTATTGAGATCTTTAAAATCTTAAGTATACAAAAAAATGAAAGAGCTAAACTTGTTAAGCATGAGGGATTTAGCTCAGCTTCTGGCCCACATTTCAGAAATATAAAAAAGGTTTCAGTTGATAGAAAATACTGTCTCACTCTTTCCAAACCAAAGCTGGCGTGCCTTTATCAAGACCCTCTCCCACTGCGGTGTGAAAGCACAAGTTGTAGAGTATGCAGAGGACACATCCCAAACCAGAGTTCATTATTATTTGGGGGTATTGAGGGGAACTCAGACTCATTTCTCCTAATCTACGTAAATTAAACCCACGTCAACGGATTACCTCTTTGAGCCTCAATTTTCTCAAGTATCTACAACTTAAGGTCCCCTAATTCTACTCCAGTGCTCTTTCCCCTCTGTCACACATGTTCTAAGGAAGAGCGTTCTTCTGAATCCTTAAAAGGGAAAACTCAAATTCCCCAGAATTTAAGCAACTTTGGAACAGAAAGTTCAGAAAGTTCAGCAATTTCATTTGAGATAATTCACAGAAGGTACCTCTCTACTAGGCTAACCACGCCTCTACGAAGGCAGGACTTTTGGCAAAGGGCTCCATCTGGTGCGTCCGGAATGCAGTCTGCAGTAGTTGCTTAACCATGCACAGCGTCGCCGATTTCCCCGGCAGTGATACTGCAGCTAAAATGGAATCTCAGGGAGGTGAGGGGTAGGTACATTTAAAGGCTATGGTTTCACATAATATATACATTGTCCCTATAAAAGATGATGGCATCACAAATCCAAAGATCTATAGCTTTACCTTTGCATATCTTTTATAATTAAAATGTGACTTTTTTAGAAGAGCCAAAAGTAGCAATTTAGAATGCTGCTGTAATGGTGCATGAAAGGGGCCCTGTTGGGGGGGCTCGGGTGGTTCGAGCCTCTTCCGTGCTGGAGAGACTGTGGGTTCAATTCCGTTCAGGGCACATATCAGGATTTCTGGTTTGATTCCCAGTGAGGGCAACCGAATCATGTTTCTCTTTCTCTCTCTAAAAATTAATAAACAATATCCTCGGGACAGGATTACTTTTTTTAAAAAGTAAAAAGTGGATATTTATGATTTACCAAGCAGCTGTCATGCAGTATGATGCAGGACATAAGTGAGGGAGAAAGTTAGAACAGGGAACAAGGCCTCAAGCTCTACCCTTTCCCTTTGCTGTCCCAGCTGGAACCCTGTGGGTGCGACCTGTGCAGACCACCTGCTCCCCTCAGGCTTCTCCTTTCCCCCTCCCTCATTTTCTGTAGCTGAGACAAACAAAACCCTGATCTCAACCAGATTCCACAGCCATGTTGACCTAAAACTGATCAATAGGGCCATTATTATATCTTTATAATAAATTTGCATCACAGTTTCAAGACCACTGCACCTCCCATCCAAGTACTAACCAGGCCTGACCCTGCTCAGCTTCCGAGATCAGACGAGATCACGTGTGTTCAGGGTGGTATGGCTGTGAACAGCCTCCGGAACAGCCGTGACGGTTCTGGGAGGGCCAAAAAGAAACCGCTGTCTGGAGAGAAGTTACCACAAGGTGTGTGAGCAGTCACTTGACACCCACAGAAGTTGAGGGCCACCCTATCCCTCCTTCTTGCCTGCATTTTATTAAAAAATTCCACCTAGACCCAATTGGGGACACCTCCTTCTCTGAAATCGCCCTCTCTCACTTCTTAAGTGGGTACTTTTGTTTTAACTCTACTGTGCTTTGCTAAGTTTTTCCATCTCGCTCTCTAATCCTTTCTTGTGCAGTGACATCTTGTGCAGTGACAAGAACACAGACCCCACTTCTGCCAAGATGGAGGCGTAGGTGGAAACACTGTGCCTTCTCGCACAACCAAGTTTAAAAACAACAAAGTTTTAGCAACAAAAATGCAGCCAAACCACAGAAAATTGAACTATATGGAAGTCCGACAACAAGGAACCCTTCAGCCAAACTGGTAAGAGGGGTAGAGCCAGCAGCAGAGCACGGTCAGGCAGGAAAGATCCACCGGACCGATCCGGGCATGCGACCCAGGTGCGCAGGCAGCCATGGGCAGATCCCAGGTATGGAGTAGCAGCGGGCGGACCCACTGAGGGCTGACCACAGTCACATATGCACATGCAGATAAACCGGTGAAGGAGTGAGCAGTGAGACTGACCTCGCAGGCTCCAACGGCGGGAAGCGGCAGAAGGGACCGCTATTGTCCCTCTCTGACCCCGCTCCCACATACAGCATCACGAACCAGTGACCTGAGTGGCCCCGCCCTGGTGAACACCTAAGGCTCCACTCCTCATATGTAACAGGCGAGAACAGAGCAAAACATTATGGCTGAAGAACTCAAAGCCCTAGAGCCCATAACTCAAAGCGACCCAGAAATAGCCAAACTTTCAGATGCACAGTTCAAAACACTGGTGGATCAGGATGCTCACAGAACTGGTTGATTTCAGTCACAAATTAGAGAAACATATGAAGGCTAAACTAATTTAAATGAATGGCAATGCACAGGAAACCAACAGTAATGGAAAGGAAACTGGGACTCAAATCAAAGGAGTGGACCAGAAGGAAGAAAAAAAAATGACCAAACAGAAAAGGATGAAGAAACAAGAATTCAAAAAACTGAGGAGAGGCTTAGGAACCTCCAGGACATCTTTAAACGCTCCAACATCCGAATTATAGGGGTACCAGAAGGGGGAAAGGAACAGCTATGAGTGGAAAACTTATTTGAACAAATAATAAAGGAGAACTTCCCCAATCTGGCAAAGGAAATAGACTTCCAGGAAATCCAGGAAGCTCAGAGAGTCCCAAAGAAGTTGGACCTCTGAAGTGTTCCAAGAAGGAACACACCAAGGCACATCATAATTACATTAGCCAAGATTAAAATGGAGGAGAGAATCCTAGAAGCAGCAAGAGCTAAGGAGACAGTCACCTACAAAGAAATTCCCAATCAGACTGTCAGCAGATTTCTCAAGAGACACCTTACAGGCAAGAGGGGCTGGAAAGAAGTATTCCAAGTCATGAAATCCAAAGACCTACAACCAAGATTGCTCTATCCAGCAAAGCTTTCATTTAGAATGGAAGGGCAGATAAAGTGCTTCTCAGATAAGATCAAATTCAAGAAGTTCATCATCACCAAGCCCTTATTATATGAAATGGTAAAGGGACTTACCTAAGAAAAAGAAGATAAAAAATATGAACAGTGAAAGGACAGCAAATGCAGTTTATTAACAACCACACCTAAAACAAAAGCAAACTAAGAGGACAGCTAAATCAGGAGCAGAAC